GATGGGACCTTTCCGCGGAGGCCGGCGCCCCGCGCCCTCTCCCCGCAGCGGATGGCGGAGCACGGAGCACAAGGTGCTTTCTGTCTCTTTAATCAGAACGTTGAGCCAAGCCGCCTGCCCCACGCGGTGGGATTCCCAAGGCCATAGGCTCGCGGGGCCGAGCTCACAACCTGAATGTTCCTGAAGATCCCGAATAACAATCTGAAGAGCCCAGCCTAGGTCTGACCCCCGCGGTGGGCACCAGGCCACGCCCCCGGGGTCCCGCGTCCAGGGGGGTCTCTGGCTGTCTCAGAGATCCGAGTGGGCTCGTGATTTCCTCCTGTGGCCTATTAGGCCGTACGGGTGCCTGCCCGCGGCCGGGCCTCGACCTCCACGTGTGCTCAAGGCCTCCGCACGTGCACATCCCTAGAAAGGACCGTTGGGTCTTGGGCAAGCTGAGCGCTCGGTCCTGCCTCGGTCCTGCCTCCGTCACCCAGGGCCTGCGGCCTAGGCCTTGCCTCTCTGCGCGGCCTGCTTGGGTGCTCCTGGCTGGGGAACCCGCTGGGCCCTGACCTGCTCCTGGCTGGGGAGCCCGCTGGGCCTTGACCTGCCGGGTCCCTCGCCTCCCTTGTAGCCTAGACCTCGCCTGTGCGAGCACTGAGAACTGCTTCTGTGAGGAGTCCTCATGGCTTGGGCTCCTGAGTTAACAGACAGGACGAGTGCTTGCAACCAGCTTTGGCTCCTGAGTCCTGATTAACAGAAAGGATGAGAGTGCAGGGACCTGCCTGGCTCCTGGGTTAACAGAGAGGATGAGAGCTCAGGGCCGGCCTTGGCTTCTGGCCCCTCTGTGAGCCGTTCGCTCCTGAGGTTTCCTTGCAGGGTCTTAGAATCCAGGAGGAACAGGATAAAGACCCCTGCCAGGCAGCAAGGACCCACTTCCTCCACTTTATTTAACCCCTAGTCCCTCCTCCTTCCTAGGGGAAGGAACAGAGATTGGGGAGATAGGTTGAAATGCTTGCCTTGCCTCTTCCTGCCCATGCCCCCCAAACCTCCCTTCTGCTCTGGTCTCTGGCTGGACCTGGCTCATGAAACCAGGAGGTGAAGCCTGGGGCTGAACAGGTCTCCTTTCCCACATGCCTAACAAGTCCTGTCTACTGAATCTGTAATAATGCCTTTCACCAGGTAGACATTTGATTTAAGGAATGCATTCACTTTCTCACTTTGATTTAGAAAACTGAGCAATATAGGATGCAAATACAGAGCGTAGGGGAGGGTTTGTAACACAAGATAACTTCAGAATTTTCAATCTAGTTGCCAGTAAAAGCTGTACTCAAGACAGAAATGAAGAATGGATTAGGAACAATGTGGATGCTGTTGCCTGGATAATTACATGCCCCAAGAGAGCCGAGAATAGACAGACCAGCCCACCAGGCAGGAGTCAGACCAGGTAGAAATGGGGTGAATAGTAGAAATGGGGTACAGTGGGGGTGCAGTGGGGTGCTGGGAGTGGTGGAGTGGGGTGCAGTGGGTGTTGAGGTTGATGGTAGAGTGGAATCACATGAGGTGTCTCAAAGGATAGAATTCTTAATTCTGAAGTACAATTTATTATTTTATCATACGGATTTTGGTGTCATAAAGTGATTAACATTTTCTTCTATAAGTTCTATAAATTTAAGTTTCACAGATAGGAGCATAATCTATTTTCAATTAGCAATAATTTGCTCACCATTTGGTGATCAGTAATGTTGATCCTTTACTTGCCATTTTGAATAAAAGGGGTTGAGGTATAGGTGGTGTTTATGTGTGTATGTACTACTGAAAAGCAATATTTTACCACTATTTACTGAAAAAGACTACCTTCTCCAGTGTCTTACTTTTTAGTCATTGTCACTAACCAGCTGACCTCATATGTGTGGTTCTGTTATACACTATTCTGTTCGATTTATCTCTCCTTAAAGTTAATACCAGTCTGTCTTTTATGGTAATAGATTTCAGTAAGAATTGAAGTCAGGTGACATAAATATCCAAACATCATTATTTTTCTCAAAGTTGTTTGATTATTTTACTTACATATGAATTTCAAAATCAGCTAATTTCCTTCAAAGACCTGCTGTGATTTTTAACTTCGATTGTATTGAATCTATAGATTAATTTTCACAAAATAAACATTTTGATAATAGGGCATCTTCTCATCTGTGAATATAACATGTATCTTTCACTTGCCTTCTTTTTGTTTTGTTTGTGTTTGTTTTTTTGTTTTCTGTTGGCCATGGGTCTTGAACTCTGGGTCTAGGCACTATTCTTGAGCTCTTTTGCTCAAGGCTAACTCTACTTTCACTTTGAGGTACAATGCCACATCCAGTTTTCTGGTGGTTAATTTTCTTTCCAGCCCAGCTTTGAGCCATGATTCTCAGATCTCAGCTTCCTGAGCAGCTAGGATGACAGGCATGAGCCACCCAACTGACATAGACTTCTTAAATCCTTCCAGCATGGTTTGTATTCAATATGTAGGCCTAGCACATTTGTTGTAAGATTTGTTGATAAATGTTTCACTTTTTGCCCTGTTGTAAATGGTATTCTTTTAATTTCAATATCTAATTAAATTTCTTAGTTGTGTGTATTTATCATGTATCATCCAACTTTGCTGAACTCAATTTGTTATGATGCTGTTTTTGGTATTCAGTAGTATGTTTTACATAAGCAATCCTAGTATCTAAAATTTCCTCTTTTGAAGTAATACTCTTTAATTTTTGTTTTGTTTTGTTGTGATGCTAGCATTTGCATCCTGCTGGGGATATCCCTGTCTTAATTCTGAATTGTTGATCAGCATTGTCTCTTATCCTTGATGGAATCCAGCCCTTCATCATTCATGTGGTATTAGCTGGATATTTCAACCTGCTTCTCAGGTTGGAAAGTGTCCTTTTCTTTCTATTGTTTTGAGAGTTTTTTTCCCATAAAGTAGGAATGGACACTGGAATTTGTCAGATACTTCTTCTGCATAATGATCAGAGTTTTTTTCTTTTTTATCTATTAATATGTAAATACCATAATTGATTTTCAGATGTTAAATCATACTGGCATCCCTGGGATAGTATGATTAATCATGGCATAATTTTGTTAAGAATCCTTCCTATAAGTGGGGTGCCGGTGGCTCGTGCCTGTAGCTACTCAGGAGGCTGAGATCTAAAGATCAAGGTTCAAAGCCAGCTGAGGCATGAAAATCTATGAGATTCTTATCTCTGATTAACCAAAAATTAATCCAAAAAGTGGAGGTGTGGTTCAAGTGGTAGAGCTCTAGTCTTGAGCAAAAGAGATCAGAGACAGCACATAGGCCCTGAATTCAAGCTCCCAAACCCGCAAAAACCAACCAACCAACCAAAAAGAATCCTTATGATAGCCACTCTGACCTCAGATGTAATTCTGATAGTAATTTGAGTGGATTATTTGCTAGTGTTATGTGGCTCTAGGAGGAGAGCTCTGCTTTACTGAAAGCTAAGACATGCACTCCTTATACTTCTATGTAGCTTGCACAAACTCAGAGATAGAAATAATGTCAAAGAGGTCTAAATGTAAAGTCTATAAAACTTTCTCATGACTAAGCAATCAGTTCAGGACATGTGGCTCACTACTAATGATGAGGTAGGAGCTTCAGAAATTATTATTTGTTCTTTCAGAGTGATGATTTTTATCCTGAGGATCTGGAATCTTCACTGTCAGATTATCAGCATTTTGAGACAGTGTCTAGATTTCCAACTTCTTTGGCAGTTAAATGTGTTCTTGGATAGGCTCTTAGTCAGTCTCATAGTCAGATTGAGGTGGTCCTGCAGTCTGTAGCTATGTGCATTAGAGATTTGCTTCGTCCTCAGAAGTTCCTGTTTCTGACCACTAAGCTAAGCAAAATGTGACATTTAGAGGAATTTTTAAAAAAGAAAAGGAAACAGGATTTAACGCAAAGTAAAGTTTCTGCATAGTAAAAAAGCCAACTCACTGTTTTATTGAATTAAACGTTGTAGGCCAGGCTTATCTTTTTTTTTTTTTTAAATAACTGCCAAAAAGGAGTTAACATTTTATAAAGGAAATCCAAGGCTGAGTGTGATGACTGAGATCTGTGACACTTTAGGTGAAAAGTCACTACAATTTTTTATCTTCAAAAGCTATTTTCTTTGGGACTATTTTCTTATTTGTCAAGACTTTGAGACTCAAGAT